AGGTCTCCAGCCAACAGCTGGAGAAGAACTGAGGCTCTTAAACAGCCTGGAGGAACGGAATCCTGACAACAATCATGTGTGTGAGTTTGGAAGCAGATCTTCCCCAGCTGAACCGTGAAATGACTATTGTTTATCACATTGCAGTCTTAGTCAACATCTCGATTGCAGCTTTGTAGGAAACTCTGAGCCAAAGGACTTTAGTTAAGCTGCACCCAGATTTCCGACCACAGAAATTGTGAAATAATGTTTGTTGCTTTAATTTGCTAAGTTTGGGGCTAATTTGTCTCTCAGTGATAGGTAACTAATATAGTCACGTATCTTCAGTGGGAAGAATGAAATTCATAAAATATTTGATAGCCTTTCATAGTAGATCAGGAGCTCACTAACTGACAAACAATGAGATCATTTGAAGAATACCAAATTTTTGAAAGTTAAGAGGGAAGCCAGCAGTAACTTACAGCATGATTCTTCTATTTCATTCATAGATTTAGGATTGTGTTTGATAATTCATAAATACAAATACCTTGCAATAGATTTGGTGACAAATAACCAAACAAATGTAGTCTTACAAAATTCTCAGACCCTTCATATTGGTTTGCTGCAAAAAAGATATCTAGATTTTATCTTAGAATATTCTCTTATTGAAAAGGAGCTAATAATTTTAAAATATGGTTTAAAGCATATGCTTACTAAAAACAAAAGTTACACATTTATTATTAAAACACTGGAAAAGACAGAAGAGCACAAAAGAGAAAATTAAAATTTCCAATTATCCCACCCTCTAAAGAAAATCGCAATCAAGATTTTGGTGTATATTTCCAGTCTTTTTTCCCCCTATGTGTATGTATGTGTGTGTAAAACACCTTTGTAACATATAATATACATTTGTGACCTATTCTTTTGAAAATAGGATTATATTGTAGATTTTATTTTGGAAGGTGATTTTTTGTTCGCTTCCTATAAGATGAATATTTTATTTGTCATTAAATGTATTTCTCCAAATATTTGTGGCTACATAATGTTCCATTGTATGGATGGACTATGATTTATTTAGCTGCTTTTGTTGTTTATTACATTCTATTCATTTTTGTATATTGTGAAAAAGAGAAAGAGAATGAATAGTTTCTTTTTCCTTATTGCTCATGGGTCAAAAGCAAATATAGGGATGACTAAGTTGTAGTTAGCTGTGAGAGTACACAAAAGAGGTCCATGAGAGAGTCTGCTTTTTACTCACTATCCCTTCCTATATTCTTTCTTACTCCCAGAACCCTGGTTTTATTGGGGTAGCAATATTCCCAGCTTATAAAAAAACCCAGCAAAACCCCCTTGATTTCTCATATAGGTAGAGTGATGTGATCCGTTCCAGGCAGTGAGAAGTCTGCAGAGTTGTTGGGAGGGACATCTAGGAAGACACCTTTTTGAGGGGGAAGGGTAAAATCAGTTGGTAGGTGTACCTTTTCTCTTTGCCTTTTCCCTTGTTACTGGCTGAAAAGTATGCAGACCTGAAGGCTAGAGCTCTGGTAACCATCTCAAGAGCACAAGATGAAGGTCTCATTGTAAGGATGGCATGAAAGCCATTTCTCATACCATGATCACTCCAGTGCCCAGGCATACGGAGTAGAATGGAGAGCAGAATCATCCTCACTGTGTAAACTGTTCTTTCTCTCTCTCATGTATAACTAAATTTGTATAAGTTAAATGAGCATATTATATACCCATTCTGTATTTACATCTGTCCTAATCTATCCAACACCACTTCAGAAAGCCAACAGTTTCTATTGTATACCTACATGACCAAAGACTTCTTTAAAAGGGTTAAAAATTTCCAAAGGCCAATGATAATTTGCACGATAGACCTAAGAGTTAAGGATATTTTTTGCATTTTATGTAGCATGTGTGCTTACGTGTGCTGGGTGGTGAAAGATAGGAGGGGAGAGGGGTTGCATTACTACCAGTCGCTCTATCCATCCTTGAATTTCTTAACTATCGACTTAGATCCATTGAGTTTGTCAGGTCAGTTCAACTGTGATGATGTGACCCAACCACTAGGTGAGCCAGATTGCCCGCGTACATCCTGACACCTAGAATAAATTCAGGAGGTACAGAAAGTTATTTAAGCAAAAGAGGACTGTTTGGGTGGGGCAAGCAATAGTTCCTGAAGCATCAGACTATGAGGAAAGATGACCCAGTCTTGGGTCAAATTTGGGATAGAGCCACACAATGTTAGAACTCAAAGGCATCACAGAGAGAGAGCATCCAGTCCAGAAGTGAGCAAACTTTACTTGCCAATTCAAGGAAATAAAAGTATTTATAGGTTTCAGTTTTCCCCCTCCCAAACTGAAAATAGCTGTTTTTAGGTTTCATGGAGAAAGATAAAGTCTTAAAACTTATGTCACCCAATTCATTGAATTGAAAAATTATGTTTCAAGCTGTATTGCAAAGTTAGGTGATGACTCCTGGATAGGGATTGATTATCATTGATCATTGTCATTTTACAAGTAGAAAAACTCCTTTTAGCTGCCACCCAATGCATGATTCCAAAGTCACATTTTTAGGCATTTGTCATAGCAGTACTCTACTCTCAGCACAGGGTTCAATCAGAGAAGAGCTACTAAGGTGTATATACATATGTATATATACACAGGGATTTGATCTTTCTGAATTGTGGGGGCTGGTTAAGCAGTCTCTGTAAGGCTGTCGTCTTCTCATCTGAACCTGGAGCTTGACGTCCGAACCAGGCAGGCAAAATCTGGAAGGAATGACGAAGATCAAGAAGAACAAGCCCAAATCCACAAGCACGAGGTTAGAGCCCCATGAGGACAGACTGAAACTAATGCCAATTCTCATTGTCTCTAACCTTAGTGGTGTGAGTATCCTGCAGAAGCCAGGGTTCATTGTCATCATAGAGCTAAGCACACACACCTGGCCCGGGAATCAAACGTTGAAGGAGAATCCAGGGGAAGATGGAGGAGCTGCTTCCTCACACCCAGCTGCTGCCTCACATCAATGAGGTGAGTCAGCAGCTCAGCTGACAAGATGTGAGAGCTACAAAATGGCTGAAGCTGTCTAGATCTCCCACAAGACTCCCTGTGGCCTGCCTTAAATGGAAACACACAGTAAAGGGAATTCTGGGGAAAGCAGTTCAGACTGTCTAAATTGACACATTCTAAATCACCATAATCCATCGTATCTGCAGTCCAGCTAGTGGGAAGGAGGAAGGAAATGGAGAAGAATCCATCCTCCTCTATTTAAGGACAATGCATCAAAAGGATATCTAACCCTATAGGCTAAAACCTAGTCAGTTGTCTAAGCCACAAAGGAGATGGGAAATGTAGTCTTCATTCCAGTGGTGATGGGCCCAGGAATTCTGATGCTGGGGAAAGAAGAAGGAAGGATATTGAAGACAACTCACAGTTTCTGCCACAACACCCTTGGCTCTGCCTGGCATATCTTTTCCTCCTCTGCTTGGCAAACTCTAGTAGTTCACCCCTATAAGCTTAGCTCAATTATCATCCTTCCTGCAAAGCCTTCACTCTGTTTTCCCATTGGGCTTTATAAGTCCCTCCATCTTGGCACTTTCTTGTTTATTCATTTAGCAAGTTTTAAGTTCCTTCATACATCAGGCATTGTTTCTGGAAGTGGAGATTTAGCAGTGTAGGGGAGGAAGACATTTCCTCTACCCACTGTACGTTCTTTTGACCAGAGAACAAATTAAATTCACATGAGACAGAATAACAGGAGAAAATTAAACAAATCTTTATAACATGTATACATGGGAGAGGCTCAGGCAATCTGAGCAACTCACGAAAATGGCTGAAGCCACCACCTTAAATATCATCTCCAGCAAAGGACAAAGGAGGATGTTGGGGGTGGGGGAAGTCAGTTACAGGAGGTTACCAGACAAGTACAGTAATTGGGAGTAAGATTATTATGCAGATTTAAGTCCTTGCCTTCCACATTGATGACAGTTTCTAGAGATAAGGTCATCCCTCCTTCCTGGTACAGAGAGGGGGACACCTTTACAGATGGAGATTTCCTTTACAATGTAAATGTCTCTTAACAAAGGGTAAGTAAATTCCACTATTCAGAATCTCTTTCCTGTCTGCAGTTTTCAAAAGTAACCAGCTCAAAATAATCCTCATGCCAAAGAGACATATCTTGGGGTGGCCAATTCCAATCCCTCACAGTAGTGACCAAAATAAAGTCCTTTCCTTTGCAAAATTTATTGCATCACAATTATTTAGTATCCTTTATACTCAAAGGCTGTCTCAAATTGAGACAAGAAGGGCAAGATTCATGGATAACTTCAAGCCTTTTTTATTCCCAACTAAATGTATGAACCTGCTGTCCAGGATTAAGATTAAATAATTGGGTAAGGCTTCAAAAGTACTTCATATTCTTTCCTATGAAGGTAATATTAATCACAAAGGTAGTATTTGTGATTTATAAGTCATGTCTCTTTTAGGGAGTCATGGACCTGGAGAGGACCTTGGAGATTACCTGATGAAAGCACCTCAGTTTATAGGAGAAGTCTCAGTCTTGGATCACGAGATTATTTGCTCAGGATTATATGCCAAATTAGTGTGAGGGCTAGAAATAGAATGCAAGAATATTGATTCTTACACAGATGCCCTTGATGTACTGCATTTTTGTGAAAAAAAAAATCACAGTAAAAAATATACTTATGTTGGGCTAGCCCCGTGGCAGAGTGGTTAAGTTCGTGTACTCTGCTGCAGGCAGCCCAGTGTTTTGTTGGTTTGAATCCTGAGCGCAGACATGGTACTGCTCACTGAGCCACGCTGAGGTGGCATCCCACATGCCACAACTAGAGTGGACCCACAACTAAGAATATACAACTATGTACCGGGGGGATGGGGAGAAAAAGGAAAAAAATAAAATCTTTAAAAATATATATATATACTTATGTTTATAAAATCAGTATTTCCAAAAATTATAGAAACAAAATTAGGGTTAAAAAACCCCCCAAAAGAATAGGGATATGTTGGTATGTGTATATGTGTGATAGTATTGAGGACATTTTCCAGTTCCAATATGGGAAAAAAAGAGCTATAAATAATTTGAATTTAAACATTAGAGAGTGGTAATATAGAATTGTAAAATGTCAGGTTATGTTGAAGATGTTGAAGATGACAGATTACATTTCACATCAAGGTCCATGTAGCCCTTTCCTAAAATTTCATGGATTCTATTAGAGATCTGCTTTATGTTAATTTGAGATCTACACTAGTACACACAAACACTTAAAAACCAAAAATCACAGTTTTAATTGAAAACCGATACAAGAAATAAAGCCATTAAGCACAGTTTTGAGCAGCCATTGAATTCTTGCTCTTTGAACCTTTGCTCCCACACACCAACAGGTGCAGTCTAAAACACACGCCCCCACATCCACACGTACACATTCGGCCACTCACCCGCCCATGGCACACTGTTCTGACACATTTGTTCCACCTTCTTCACCTCCGGGAGACAGTGTGAAGGAGAACGAAAGTCAGGAGCACAGATGTATGACACATAAATGTGTGTACTACACAAAGCCTCTGGAAAAAAGCTTTCAGGAAAATAAACAGTATTAATTTATTTCAGAAAAATTAACTTTCAGTAGAATCAATGAAAATATAGCCAGCTCCTCTAGGCCGAATTCATGAGACCAGAAGCGAAGATTGTGATTCAGAGTTTAATCCAATCCATATTTGATAATATATCTGAAAAAATATAATAAATTGATGGTCTCCTGAGAACAGGGTTTAAAACAGAACTATTAAATTAGCTCTACTAGTCCTAAAAATAAGAAAATAGTAGTTTTAGTTTTACTGATGGTGGAGGAAGACTTTCAATTTAACTCACTAGGGCTTTTGCCCTGGAATCTGAAATCTTTCTGATTCTGCTCTATGTTTAGATTTAGGGGGATACAATTAGATTAAATATTAGATTTTGAAAAGTGCACGAATATGGAAAATCATCAATGCTACTGCTAGAAATACGAAATCCCGGAATTGTGGCAAATCCCAAATTATCATGTGAGATAGATGGCCATTGACTGTGCATTACTGTTGCTGACAAAGCATCTTATATTTTACATAATAAATTTTTGTTTATTGAGAATCTTGGAGGTTTTGGCAAGCAATAAAATAATAAAAAACAGAATAGAAAGATGCACACTTTTTCCACAAATGAGTAGAGAGAGCTCACCTTTGGCATATGCTGACTCTAGGGAATGAGTGCAATTTTTTGGTTACAAGTGGTAGAAAACCTGACCCACATTGGCTTAAAAGAATTATTATTACATGTACCTGAAAAGCCCAAGCGTAGGTCCCAGGCTTCCAGCACAGCTGGATTCAGGCTAGAACAATTTGCCCGTGCTTGGTTGCTCTCCATCCTTTAACCCTGCCTTCTGAGTGCTTTCTGTATCATGTACCTCATGGTGATGCTCCAGTCCTTCCATCCTCTCAGGCTCAAGACCAAAAGGCAAAAGCAACTTGGCTTTCCCAAGAACTTATAGTTACTGACTTGAGTTTCCTGCTCATCCCTGAGGCCAATCACCATGGCTACGGGAACGTGATGCACTGACTGGCTTAGGCTCAAGGAGTATGTTCACTTCTGAGTGAGGACAGAGATGTAGTCTTGCTCAAGCACATGGATCAAAGTAGGGGAGAAAGAAGAAAGAGTGAAACTTAATATGAAAATTGGGAGCTGTTCCTGGAAGATGGAGAACAGGTGAAATTCTGGAATACAAACCATACGGGCCTATTACAGGGGAATCTCAACTGTGGCTGTGGATATATGGTCTTACCGGCTCTATCAGGACCAATTAACAAGCAATCTTAGATCAAGGGTAAGGATAAAAATGCTTAGTGAATCTACCATTTATAAGGCAGATATGTCACTGGATCATCAGTTTTCTTGGCTGTACAAGGACAATTATACCACTTACAACTCAATTTTTTCAATGAGTATTAAAAAACCAATGCATGTGAAAGCATAGGTGGCTAATAAGTGTCAATTACCTTCTCATTTCCCTTTGAGTTAAATTTTCCTTTCTTAGATTGGGAGTTTTTCAGAATAGAAATTACGTCTGATTTGTTTTTTTAAATCTCTAGAACCTAGGACAATACCTAATACATGGTAGAAATTTAATGTGTGCTGAACAAACAGTTGTTAAGCATATTAGTTAGGTTATAGGATAAGCTGCTATAACAAAGAGACTCCAATATATGATGGCTCAAACAAGATACGTGCTCATTTTTCTCTCACGGAACGGTCTGGAGCTGTTGGGCAGTTTTTGGTAGGAAGGCAGCTCTGCTCCTGTAGATCAGCTTCCTTCTGTCTTGTTCTTCCACTTTCCCTTGTTTTCCTCGTGGGCATGGTTGAAGCTGGCTGACTCCCATCGCAACTGTGTTTTAGCCCATGGTAAGCGGGAAGAAAATATGAAGGGGCAAACAGCTTCCTTTTAAGAATGTGATACAGATGTTGTGCACATCTCTTCTACTCACATCCCCTCAGGCAAAACCTAGTCACGTGGCTACAAAGAGCTACAACGGATGCTGAGGAAGATAGCCTGTAGCAAAGCAGTCACATGCCAGCTAAAACTAAGGGGGTCGATCACAAAAAAAGAAAAGATGAGGAGAATGGAGATAGCCGATCAGTTAGTGGTCTGTGTCACACAAGCAGCCATGTGGAGGTCAGAGACCCTGGAGCAGTGGCTACCAGTTTCCTCGCAGTGTTACTGGCAGTGAAAAAGCAAAGGAAAGGGAAGAGACCGTGGATAATAGTTTCAGAGTGTTGTATGTAAATATGTGTTTACAAATACAGTCTCTCTACGTTAAGGCTAAAGACGGAAGTTAGACTCATGGGACTTGAGCTTAGCAGACTGACTGCATATAATCTTAAATGCATTCTAACGCACCTATTTCTTTCAACTCAGCTCACCTAATTTTATTAAGTCAGAACAATGAACTTGGATTTTATTTATTGGATTTTATTCTTAAAGGGTTACTTTTCTAGAAATGATTCACCCTCATTAGACCATTTCTCCACATGAAAGTTCTAAGGGATGTAGGAAGCATTATTTGAGCTAAGAATCATATTTTCAACTAAAGATATATAAAAGAATTTTAATTGATGATTATACTTACAGTCTGTTCCATGTTGAAGGGAGTTGTCCTAAATCAAATATGACATATTCAAGGTAATTAGACGGCCCAGAAAATCTGGGGCAGTCTAATTTTAGATACCTGATGTTGTAACCAATTCTATAAAATAGTTTTGAGCATGCACCACCAATATATGTATGTTTATTTATTTACATATGTATACACTAACATATATATAAACTGACATGTTACATACATTAGAAAACATACACCAAAATAAAAATTTTTAAAGGATGAGCTAAAATAATTATAAACAGAAATTCTAATATTCACTTCTTATTTTCTCCTGGGGCACATGAGCACACAACATGAAAATCAGTGCACTAGTCAATAACAGAATCTGAACCAGAACCCAGGTCTCCTGACTTCTAGTGCAGAGGTCTTTCCTCTTAACCTCAATGCCTTTCATCTTTCTAGTATAAGGCAGGCTTTTGTTCCAGACAAGATAAAGTAAGTGTATCCCATTTTACACCTCCTGCTAACAACAATAACAATAACAAAAAGCCCTGAACAAAATACACAAATCACTTACCAGGAAATCTGAAAAGTGGAGAAAAGAAAGTGAAGTAGCTAGAAACCTTGAGACTTGAGGAATGACCTGGCAGTGAGTTTCCCAGGCTTTTTTTTTTCTTGCTCTCTATCTATCCAGGCCTGTGGGCTAGGAACGTTTGCAACCTGGAAACACTGGTGGGAAGAGAGAAAAAATCCCCAAGAAAATCCTGCTCCCTCTAGCCAAAGGACCAAGAAAGGGGCAGCCCAGCAGAACAGAAACCTTTCAACTGTGTGTAGTAGGCAGAATTCTAAGATGCCCCTCCAGATTTCCTGCCACTGATGTACATGCCGTGACCAGGAACTGTGAATTTGATGGACTTCACCTCTGTGATTAGGCTCTATTATACGGCATGGTTGATTTTAAGATAGGGAGGTTATCCAGGTGGTCCTGGCCTAGTCATATGAGCCCTTTAAATGTCAAGAATTTTCTCTGGCTGGTAGTAGAAGGGGAAGTTAGAGAGATCTGAAGCATGAGTGGGATTTGACATGAGGGTGTCTTTCTGCTGCTCAGATGGAGGGGTGTGACAGCTAGCAAGATACAGAGATCTCGGTCTTACAACTGCAAAGACATGAATTCTGCAAACAACGTGAGGGAGTTGGAAGTGAATCTTTCCCTAGCTGAACCTCCAGGTGGGGATGCACTTGGCCCACATCTTGATTTTAGCCTTATGAGACTTTGAGCTATGGGACTCTTGACTCAGTGAAATTATAAGATAATAAATTTGTGTTGTTTAAGCCACTAAGCTATTGGTAATTTGCTTGTTCTTGAGACAAACGTGAAAAATCCATGTCCTCCCTCACACCAGTGACACAGAAGTAGTGGAACTGGTTGGCGGAATTCTGATTTCCACCCCGAATTAGTTTCCTGTTGCTGCTGTCACAAATTGCCACAAACTTAGTGCTTAAAACAACACAAACATCTTATAGTTCTAGCAATCAGAAGGCCAAAATGGGTCTTATGGGGCTAAAATCAAGGTGTCCACAGAGCTGCGTTCTTTCTGGAGGCTCTGGGGAGAATCTATTTCCTTGCCTTTTCTAGCTTCTAGAAGCTACCTGTATGCCTTGGCTCATGACCCCTCCTCCTCCATCTTTAAAGCACATCACTCCAACCTCTACTTCTGTGATCACATCTCCCCTTTTTCTTGACCCTTTTGTCTTCCTCTTATACATACACTTGTAATTACATTGGGCCTCCCTGGATAATCCAGGATAACTTCCCCATATCAAGATCCTTAACTTAATCACATTTGCAAAATCTCTTTTACCTTGTGAAGTAACATATTCATAGGTTCTGAGGATTAGGGTGCAGACAACTTGGAGGGGGGTATTATTCTGTCTATGACCATCTCCTATAGAACAACACTGTAGAGGCTTTATACACCAAATTGACATTTGAACCACAGCCACAAAAGTGAGCTAAGATACATTCTGAACATAAACAGGTTAACTACATGCTAAATTAGGAGATCTAAACAGGAACCAGAGTCTTATAACATAATATCCAAATGTCCAGGATAGAGTCCAAAATTACTCATCGTATCAGGAAAATCTCAACTGAAATGAGAACAGACAATCAACAGATGCCAACAGCAAGATTCCACAGATGTTGGAGGTGTCAGACAGGGATTTTAAAGCAGCTATTATAAAAATGTTCCATAAGCAATTATAAATATTCTTGAATAAAATGATAAAACAGAAAATCTTAGAAAAGATTTATAGACGATATAAAGAACATCCAAATGGAAATTTTAGAATTTAAAAATATAATAACTGAAATAAAAATCTCATTGGATGGGTGTTTTAATTGTACTCAGGATTTAATTTACAGAGGTGACTGAGTGAGGACACGGAGAGGTCAATGCCATTGCAAGAAGAGTTTATGAAAGGGCATGCCATGCAGTACAGGGCTACACGAGGAAGTACCAGGGTCAGTCAGGAGGCAGGGGGAGTGAAGAGAAAGCACGGGCACATGCCTTTATTGTGGTTTCCAAAAGAAGGAATGGGCAAGGCAGGGTAGGCAAGTTTGAGCAAGTTTAGGATTGGATAGTTGAATAATTTCAGCAGGCTCTGGGCTATAGTAGCGGTCTCTAGTTGTCCCATACCTGGCCCTGGGGTGATTTAGGGCAGGGGAAATACTGGCTTGCTGTGTGAAAGTTAGATAAAGGAGGTGGTTGGGGGTATGAGCTCTGGACTGGCTGGTGTGCACATGAAAACATGTGGTGGGAGATTTTTTTCCTATCTCTAGGAATTAGTCTGGGAGGGGCAGTCTCTCTCTGACCAGCAAGGCCCCCAAGATGTCAAAGCATCATAAGATATAGAAAATAAAAAATGATTGAAACAATGCGCTCAATAAGAAAATGAGGATGCCAGAAGAGTCAGTGAACTTGAAGATAGAGCAACAGAAATTATCAAGATGAACAACAGCAAGAAACAAGATTTTTAATAAATGAATGGATCCCTGGGGACCTGTGGGATAGTAACAGAAGATCTAACTTTCATGTGAAAGCTTCAGGAGAAGAAAAAGAATGCTGAGCTGAAAAATATTTGAAGAAATAATGTTTCAAACTTCTCAAATTTGGTCAAAAACATAAACTTACAGGTTCAAAGAACTGAGTGTACCCCAAACAGAATAAACTTTAAGGAATTCACACCCAGACACATCATAATCAAACTTCTGAAAGTGAAACACAAAGAAAAGCTTTTGAAAGCAGTCGGAGCCCGAGAGAAACAATGCATTACTGACTGGCGACCAATGATTTAAATGACAACAGATTACTCCTCAGAAATTTGAAGGACAGACGGAAGAGGCAAACATTTTTCCAAGTCCTGAGAAAAAAGCATTGTCAACCCAGAATTCTTTATCCAGTAAAAAATGTCCTTCAGGAAAGAAGGTGAAGAAACACTAAGAGAATGTGTCACCAGCAGACCTGCTCTGAAAGAAAGGCTAAATGAAGTTCTTCAGACAGAAAGGAAATGATAACGAAAGGACACCTGGCACCCTGTGAGTCGAAAAGGAGGGGCGGAATTATATGGATTGCATACTGTATGACATTCTCAAAGTGACAGAATTATAGTGATGGAGAATAGATCAGTGTTGCAAGGGGTTCAGGTTAGGAGAGTATTAACACAAAGAAGTTTATTTCTGGTGATGGAACAGTTCTGGATTCTGACTGTGGTGATGGTTACAGGAATCTACACATGTAACAAAATTTCAAATTTCACCCCCTAAAAAAGAGTGTACGTAAAGAAAGACTGGTGACGTTCAAATAAGGTCTCTGTCTGAGTAAACAGCATTGGACCACTGTGAATTTCCTGGTTTTGACATTTTACTCTGGTTTAGATGATATTATCATTGGGGCAATATGGAGTACACAGAAATTCCTTGTAATATTTTTTGCAGCCTTGTCTTAAACGATTTCAAAATAAAATGTTATAATAAAAATATAGAACATATTTTATTTTTTTTAATTGGATAACTTATAAAGATAGGATAAAAGCAGGTGAAAGCAGGGTTTGAAGAAAATCAGCTGATTTGGCAATTGGTGAAGGAAGGATTTTGGATGGTTCAGTGACGTTATTCTGTGCACACCCCCCCTCCAATCTATATTCACGTGTGCATATGCACACTGCCACACACACAATTATACTCACCTATGTTTCAGTATTTCCCTGTTGTTTTCTAGTGTTCTCTTTCCAGCCATCTATTTTAGATTTTTCTGTGCTTGGCATTAGGAAAGATCTCTCAGAGGATCATCTCTCTTTTCCTATTGGTGGTCTAACCCATTTAACTCTTCTCTCCCTCTGCCTTCTGCTTCACCTCCTAACCCTATTTGAAAACCCTTATAGTTCTTGCTGTCATAAAATGTTAGCCTCCAGTTCTAATAATTATACTACCAGCAGCTTATTTAAAATCCCATGATTTACTGCAGCCGTATTAGATATGACGGGGTAAGAGGGTATAGGATGAAGCCTAACTCAGTAGTAAGTGACGTCAGACAAAGGAGTCACCCTGGAGGTGCCCACAATCTCACTGTCACATTCCTGAGGCCCGTATGTCCTCTGGAGGTTAGTGAAGGGAAAACAGCTCCAGAAAAGTCTGAGGAAACCATGGCAGGTAAGTAGCTAATTGGAGGAGAGGAAAGGAGTGGTGAGAGATTACCCCATCCATGAGAACATTATCCACCTCAAATCCTGTGATGATCATTCAGGCTGAGACTGAGAAAGGATGAGAGAAGTCAAGAGTACAGAAGGAACAGAAAACTTCTCACAGCCAAAAAGACTCTGTTCCCACTTGTTCTGATGTTGGGGGGAAAGACAGGGTCAAGGAGGCTAGACCCAATTCTGAGGTCACTGGGAGAGGGAATAGAGAGAAGTCAGTTGGTCTGGATGACTTTGAGGATCCAGTCCGTATAGTGGGAAACCTTGGTGTAGTAGCCAATATCACCTCTCAGAACACACCCTTCTTTCCAGGATAGGATCCCATGTAGCTGATCTCCGCACAGGATTGGGGCAGCAGCTATTTCCTGTTAGAAAGAGGAGAGATGGTTCAGGTGGAGTAGCCAAAACAAAGATGATCTAGTACCAAGTCCCTATCTGAGGGGCCAAGAAAAGAAAGATTTAAGTCACAAGGGCTGGGAGAAATGTCTAGTGGCCATCTTGGGCCCATCCCACCACTCACCCTAGGCCACACCAGAGGAAGCCATAGAGAAATGAGAACACTCTGAGATGTTTCCAGCTTGACATCAATATTCATTCATGATTGGAAGGAGGACACTTATTCCTTCCTGGACTCTATTTACCTTGATCTCTTCTTGGATGTAGAGACAAGAAATTGGATTGGGTTGAGGGAGAAATGTGGACCCCGAAACAATGTCCCAGACCAAAGGTAGGGGAGGCAGAGGGAAAAGAGTTACCTTACATGAGTGTGTGACCTGCAGAGATGATCCCGCACAGAACATGTTCTCTGTGATTTTAACAGGAATTTGTCTTACAGAGGACGTGCGGCAATTTTCATTATGGAACCAAAAGACAGTCTGGTTTCTCTGGACATCAGGGACTGTGTCTGAGCACACACATGCACATGCACATGCACGTGCATGCACACACACAAAGAGAGAGAGAAAGAGGCTTTGTTTCTCTTTGATCCTTCATATATCCTTCTCCCTTTCTTCTCTCCTCCCCTCCCTCTTTTCTGTCATTAACCTCTCCATCATTCAATGAAAGAAAAAGCCAAAATGAAAAGGAACTGAACAAAAAGAAAGCAGATAATGAAAAGAGAAAAGCAAGGTTGGGTTCCATTGTTGTAAACTGCATGCCTTGGCTTGCGCATGCATGTTTATTTGTGAATGTCTGTCTGTAAGAGTCCTAATGAAGGAGCCACACTCAGCATCACCAGTGGGATTACCCTCCAACCCCTTCCTTACCCAGGCACCCTTTCACTCTCATCTGGGTGATGAATGAGGCAAGAACACTGGATTCCAGAGACCTCCAGCCATAAATGGCCACATTACCCGGGGGTATATCATGTTACCAATCTGGGCCTCAGTTTTCACAGGAATAAAATTAGAGGCTAAGTAATGTAAGTTCTCAGGCCACTTCCAGCTCTCATGATCTATAATAGTAGTTATATGGTAATTGTCTTTGAATGGGTACTAAAGGAGTGCCAAGGGTCTATCCTGAAGGTCACTCACTAGCATTATTCCAGGCCCAGCCCCAGCCAGAGACAGTGCACTTGTCCCCTCTTCTGTCATCTGTGGTATTGGGCAGAACCGCCAGCTTCACCTGATCATTGAGCTCTAGGGGATGGTTCAGCTTGATGAGCATGAGGTCATGCTCAGCAGAAACCCGGGTGAAATCTGGGTGTTGGACAGTAAGCACAGGTCTTAAGTTCCAGATCTTGTTTTGGAAACTCCTTTCTTTTGAAGCAGCAAGGTCTATCTCCAGAAATCTGGAATAGACCATAAAGGATTAGTAGAGGAAGGAGATATTATTCTATTGTTAGTCTTGCATCCTTTCTCCCCTAACTTGCTTTGTGACTTTACATGATTTCCTTCCATAACTTGCCAAGACCTCTATCGCCTTGTCTGGCAAATGAGCAATTTCCATTGCAGTTCCATAATTCTTTGATCTTTACTACGTTGTATGTAGGCTTTCCTTCCCTATTGCTTCATCCCCTGGTGCTCTGCTTCACTAATTCCCTCTGTCTACATCATCCCACCCAGAAATCTAACTCATAACCACTTACATCTATTTCCTGCCTCCCTCCGACTACTTCTCAGGTTTGAGAGCCCCTGTGCAAGTCTCTTCAGGGCTGAGCATCAGTCCCTGCTCAGCTACGACTACAGGGGAACACCTCCCCTTCCAGGACCCCCATCACTCACGGTAAGAAGCAGTGGGCTGCGGTGAGAACCCATTGTTTGTGAATCAGGGTCCCCAAACAAGGCTCATATTCTGAGTTCAGGAAAATCAAAAAGGTTGGTACAGTTTTGATGTTCATCTGATTGAGTTGCTGGACTGATTTTGCTTGTGCTAGTGTTGCTGTTAGGATTATCGTTGTTGTTGCTGCCAGATAGGAGAAACGATGGCAGAATCTTAGAGACGGGGCAGACATTCCAGAGAACAGAAGCCTGAGACATTTTATGTGGAAGTGCTTTGAAATGCTCAAAATGTTATTGACCATTCGGTTTACGGTATTGTCAAACCATTTCAGGATCTTTCTGTTAATTTTCCCTTAGACTCCCCTCTGTATTTGTGTCCTCTCTCTTACTCCTCCTCTCCTTCCTTCCTTCCTCTTGATTCTTCTCTCTTTCCTTCAAGCTTACTTCCTAGCTATAGAACAAAATCACATTCTTTTGCCAACACCCACCATTCATTGTGTCAAGTCTTATTACCTCAGTCCGAATTTTCTCTCGTATCCATGGAACAAGAGGAAAATCAGTAGACTCTAGATAGCTCTGAGTGTTCTAGGAAATTTCCAGTCACTGGGGTCCTGAATTCTTATCTTTCTAACTGATGATCTCTCCAACCCTCTTAATCTACACCCATTTCTTACACTTTCCTCCAATATGACCTTTTGAAAATTTTTAGAAAAAATAGGAACCTGAACTCACCAGTCACTGTGAGAATGGTGAAGACTGGAAAGAGGCAGTTCATATCTGCTGTCTCCACACGCTCTTCCAGGGAGAAGACTTAGGAAGGCAGTGAACTGCCAACCAGCCTGATCTCCTGGAAGCTTTGCAGAGGGAGAGATTATAAGGAGGGGCGGGGAGGTTCAAGGGAGCAAGGTGCTCTGAACTAGAGAGGATGGCATCAGAGGAAGGAAAGACAGTCAGACTATCTCTCTAGAGTATCTTCCTTCCCACTGTAGTCTGGGAAATTTCTCCAAGGTGAGATGCCTGACCCCCAGAGGAATGTACTATAAACCAAGAGTTTTGCTCTCCTTTATTAGCAAAGAGAAATCTCAACTGGCCAATTCTGCCTGCATTAATCCACTGTCTCCAGTAATATTTCAGTCCCCTGTTTCCCTTAGGTTTACTCACCCGTCCTCACCTAGTGTGGCTGGTCTCCACCTCTCTGCCTGACATTTACCAGCCCTCAACTTAAAAATAAACTCCCTCCTCTATGAGCTAGACCCCCCTCACTTAACACATGGAGCCCTCCCTCATGTCACACTGACATTTGCCCTCGTGTCACACTCACTCCACCCCCATGTCATCCTCTCCTCATGTCACACTCTTCCCATCCCATGTCATCCTCCCCCCAGTCCCCAGATACCGCTGACCTCTCCCTGAAAATTTGCAGAGCCATTCAAAGACAGACAGGGTATGCTCAGCATAGAGCTACCTTGGAATGGAGTCAAAGAGATACTGAGTAGAATGTATTGGTAAGCTTTTGCTACACAGCAAATTTCCTCAAAACTTAGTGGCTTAAAACAGCAGTCAATTATTTGCTCACAATTCTGTAGGTTGCCAATTTGGGATGGGCTCAGCTGGGCAGTTTTGCTCTCAGCAGGGCTCAGCCATGCATCTGTGATCAGCTGGTAGTCAATGGTTCCATGAACACGTCTGGTGGTTGGCTGGCGGTTGGCTGAAGTAAATGGGGGTAACTGGGCCATATGTCTATCATCATCCAACATGCTAGCCCAAGATGACTTATATGATGGTGGTTGCAGGGTTCCCAAGATCAGAAAAATGGTAAGACCCAATGCCCAAGCGCTTTTTGAGCCCCTGCATGTATCATATTTGCTAATGTCCCATTGGCCAAATCAAGTTGCATAGCCAACCCAGACTCACAGGGTGCAAAAGAGTACACTTCTTGATGGGAGAATGTGTAAAATCATATTACAAGGGCATAGATAGAAGAAGGCAAATAATTTTTGGCCAATTTATTGTGTAAATTTTCAAACAAACAAAAAATTTAAAAGCATTGTACAGTGACCACTGCCATACCCACCACCTATTTTCTTCAACTAACATTTTACTATATTTGCTTTATCACATAGCTATGCATCTTTAGTTGTGGCGGTTGTCACAATCTACCACATAGAGGCAACCAGCTCATCCCCTTCTTAATCTCCTTCAATCTGGCTTCCTCTCCTACCTCTCTGATGGCTCCTCCTTTTTCTCTATTTGTGGTGCTCTTCACAGCTGCCACCCTCACCATATAACTCCTGAGTTGCTGCAGTAGCCTTCAAGCTGGCCTTCTTTGACAAGCTTTCTTGTCCTCTGTCCAATTTGCCAGATTGATCCTTTTTTCATTTGTTGTGCTCTTGCTTCAAAGCTTGCAGTGGTTCCTAGTGCCCATCCTTCATGTCTAAATTCCTATGCCTGGCTGCCAAGGCCCTTAATAATCCAGTACTAATGATGCCTGACTCTGCAGGGATATGACATAATGGGGAGAGTCAGAGTTCCTGGGCAATCTCAAGGGCAGCCTGTGTCCTTGGGAGATCTATTGACGAACTTCTTGTCTCTCTCTGACCAACTCCAGTTCCTGTGTGTCCTAGCCTCTTTTTTAAAATTGGCTGTAATCTTTGGCTTTTAGCCCGCTTATCTTGGCCCTCACAACACACACCTGAGCATCTCCCATCAGCATCCCATAGGCACCAATTTCTGCCCTGACCTGGACACCTTCTTATCCTAGGCTCCTTGTCAAAAGCCCCTTGACTTTTATTCCTCTAAGGTCATCCGTGTCCCTGCTTGCGAGCAGGGACTGGCTCTTCCACCTGGCATTTGGTCAAACAGTGGCCCTGATTGTTTTGAATCTATTCCTCTAATTGGCTGTGAGTACTTGGCTATACTTTCTGGGTTCATTGCCACAAAAAAGGATTCCTCTGATCTGGCTATACTCATCACTACACTGAGGAAGACCCTTCTCTGCTCCCCACCTGTGCCAATTCCTGTCTGACACATACTGAGCTCCATTTGCTCAGACTGGGTTTTAAGAGCCCCTCAGATTCCAGTCTGAATCCACTCCTCCTACACTGTTCCCTGGCGCCAAATTTTTCTCTTTTCTACTGTGGACATTCCATTCTAGGCCAGCCAGTTTCTTCAGTATTCTTCATGTTGACCATTTCCATACATGGTTCCTTTCATTCTTTGGCTCACTGTACGATTATATTTGGGGTCACCTACCCTACCTACTCCTTGTCAGAGAATCTGCCCCTGCCCAGAACCTTTGCTAAGTAGCTCAAGCTTGGATGTCGAAGGGCCAGAACCTGGATCCTCAGAGATACCTCTCAGATCAATGTAGCTCTACTTCAGTGCCCAATCCCCATTCTGCCTGTTCTGGGTCGATCCTGCTACACTCATAGCTCATCCTATCAGACCCTCACATGCTTCTTGATGGTCTCAGACTGAAAAATATCTGATTCAACTCTGTGTCTCCAGATCCTGGCATAATATCTGGCACCATACAGTAGATTTTACACACACAATTTTCTTTTTTGTATGAATGAGTGAATACCACCTGTTTATCTTTCGACCTAAAACTTTCAACAACCAGTCACACTGACCTGACCTCCAGGTAATCTAAGCTCCCTGGCTTGACTCACATCACTTCCTTGTGAGTTACAGTGGGAATAGCATTCCCAGATTATGGTCTTTGATCCCAAGGGTCAAGCATTGGACATCAATAGCATGAGATTTAATCTTGTTTTCTTTTAACAGCTTGATTGAAGTATAAGGACATATAAGAAATTGCATACATTTAAAGTGCACAGCTTTGTAAATTAATGAGCATAATCCTAAAAGATTCCTTATGTCCCTTTGTAATTCCTTTTTCTTTCCCTCCCACCCACCACTCTGTCACCAGGCAACCACTAATCTGCTTTCTGTCCCTATAGGATAATTTACATTTTCTAGAATTTTAGATAAATAGAATCATACAGTATGTCCTCTTTTTTGGTCTTGCTACTTTACTCAGCATAATTAATTTGAGATTCATATACGTTGTTGTTGACTCTAGAGTTCATCTATTTTGACATAAACCAAACTTTGTTTAATTATCTGTTGATTGACATTTGAGTTGTTTCCAGTTTTGGGTTGTTACAAATAAAGCTTCTATGAAGACTCTATATATGTGGGTTTTTACATAGATGCATATGTACATAAATGTCTTTATGTAGACATAAGCTTCCTTTTCTCTTGGATAAATGAATAGAGGTGAAACAGCTGGATCATATACAGTAGATGTATGTTTAACTTTTTAACTGCCAAATTGTCTCCTGAGTATTTTACATTCTCAACAGAAGTGTATGAGAGTTCCAGTTCCTCTATATCTTCACCAACTCTTGATGTGCTCAGTCTTTTTCTTCAATTTTTTTAAATTGAGATATAATTGACATTTAACATTGTATTAGTTTTAGGTATACAGTGCGCTCAGTCTTTTTCATTTCGGCTGTCCTCGTAACTGTGAAACAGTGTTTCATTTGGGTTTTAATTTGCATTTCCCTAATGACTAATGACGTTGACCATCTTTTTGTGTGCTTATTCGTCATTCATATATCCTCTTTGACAAAGTGTCTGTTCAAATCTTTTGCCCATTTTAAAACTGGGTTGTTTCTTTCCTTATCATTGGGATGTGAAGGGGTTTTTGTATATTCTGGATAGTAGTCCTGCAATACTTCCAGCAGCTAGAGGAATGGACCCCCATAAGTCCATCCACATGCCTCTTCTCTAGACCTGCTTGTTCCCAATTTTCCAATCTTTCTCCTTCCAAACCCCTGATGAAGCAGCCACACCATTCATCACTAACATGAGTCCTGCATATTTCTATTTCGGGCTACTTTTCTTTCCACACAGAGTAGAGGACCAGGTGTACCACCAAAGCTCTTCCCACTGGGAGAATTTCCCTTCACTATTGTCTTCTGAGGCCATCTTTGAATGGGGCTATAGTGTAGCAGTCCATTGCTGGCATCGTCACGTGCCAAGCTGACCCATCTGTGTGCTAAGCACAGGTTTTTTTCTTTTCTACGAACTGATCACAGGAGAACCTCCCTCTCCCCACTTCCCCTCCTCCAAAACAACCATACGTGTAGCTGAGGGAGAGGCAACGTGCCATAGTGGTGGGTGACACAAGAGTTTGAGCCACCTACTCATGCAGCTTACTTGTCCCCTGGCCCTGATCAAGATCAATCCTAGATGTATCACTTCCATCTTACCATGGACTTCTGCTGGGCTCACATAACCTTATGACTTAGTGGATCTGACAGAACCTTGTGATGAATAGTTCTGGCTGCAGGGTCACTGGATGTCCCAAGATCAGGTGCTCTTTCTCTACCAGGGCCCACTAACACCTCAGGAATTATTTTTCGAATGGTCTCTGCTGCAGGTGGCATAAGATTGTCCCAGAACTCTGTAGTCTACATGGTTATTCTCTTACTAGAGCTTGCTGTAAACTTCACAAAATGTCTTTTCCCGCCACAGATACTTGCAGATACCTGGCATAAGTCTGCCAGGCAGTGTGGCCTAAGTGGCAGGGCTGTTGTGCCATAGCCTGAGGCTTCTTCAGAGTTTTTTCCTGCTCTGAACCCCACTCAAAACTGGCAGCCTTCCATGTCACTCAGCGAATGGTTCAGGGCAGTATTTTTCCTAGTGTTGAATGTGCTGACTCTAGAACCCAAAAAACTCACTAGCATTATGTTTCTTTGTAGTGGTAGGATGCCTGGCATGTCCCAGACCACTAGACACTGACCTGGAGAACCTCTGAATCTTCTTAGAACTTACCTTTTACCCTCTAGAGCATGTGTCTTACCAAGGCCTCCCACATTCTTCCCGCTTCTTAATCATCTGTTCTGATTAACCTGATGTAATGGTTATCTGCTGCTCTGTTAGAAATTACCCCAAAACATGACAGCTTAAAACAGTAAATGTTTATTATCTCATATTTTCAGGGGGTTAGGAGTTCAGGAGTGGCGTAGCTGGGTGATTCTGGCTCAAGGTCTCCCATGAGGTTTTAGGCAAGATGCTGTCCAGGGTTGCAGTCATCCAAAGGCTCGACTGAAGCTAGAGGATCTGCTTCCAAGATGGCTCACTTTAGTGGCTTTCGGCAGGAGGCCTCACTTCCTTCCTACATGAATCTCTCGGTAGAGTTACTTCATCGTCCTTAGCACATGGTACCTCACTTCCCTTATAGCAAGTGATCCAAGAGAGAGCAAGGAATGAAACTGGAATGTCTTGGAAGTCATACCTCATCACTTCGGCAATCTTCTATTTGTTAGAAGTAAGTCACTAAGTCCAGCCCACATTCAAGGGGATAGGAATTAAGCTCCACCTCTTGAAGAAATATAAAAAGGAATTTGTGGGCATACTTGAAAACACCACACATGACATCATGAACATAGTGAATCATTGTGGTGATAAGCAGAATGTCCAGGCAGTCCAGGTTCCTTTGGGTTATATTATGACAGAAGGCAAAAGAATTAACTCTGGTCAAGACTGTAAATATGTGTTTCGTTCACACATGTCTGTTCCCTTTCCTTGGTGGGAATGGAAATGAATGCATTTGCTAATCAACATAAGGTACCTGAGGCCTTAAGAATCTGTTCCAGCAGAGAGAATACATCTGGCATAGCAACTAGGGCAAGTAGGGCAACTATTACGTTGAGTTTATTATTCCCCAGCATCAGACATTTTCATAAGGGCCAGACTGGTGAATTAAATGGGGATAAATGAGGACTGTCATCCTGCATTCTTTAGGTCTTAAAAGGTAGCACTAATCTCTGTTATTTCCCCCAGGATGTGATATATATATATATATATATATATATTTATATTTTATTCACTATCTTGGTGAGGGAGAAAAATCAGTTTCAGATATTCCTCTTGGTCTCCCCTGCTAACACAGCTTTTATCCCACAGTACAAGGCATCAATGTGGAGGTTCTGCTAGTTGCAAAAGATATCTATTCCACATTGGAGAAGTGGAGAAATGACCCTTTCCTACTTTAGTTTTCTCCATAGCATTTATCACCATCTAACTTAACAAATATTATCCTTATTAATTTTATTTTTTATCTGTCTCCAAGTTAATATAATTTCTACAAGGGTAGGCACTTTTATCTTTTTTTAACTGATTTATGTCCAATGCCTAAAAAGTGCCTAACACATCATGGAAACTTTATAGTTCTAGCACATAGCAAGCATTCAGTAAATATTTGTTGAGTGAAAGAATAAATATTGACTGATTCTCAATATAAGTTCATTATTATTATTGCTATAATTGCCCCTAATGTTTTTCCATCTCTCCCAGCAAGTATGAATTCAAGTGTGAAGCATTCGCTCTGGAGAAAATTAGGGAACGGTTTCCACAGAAGGATCAGAGATGACCATTGGCACCTCACGTGTCCCGTGGAACAGTATATGTGTTGGCAGTGAGCTGAGAGGTAGAAGGTAGACCACGAGGGACACTGCTCCAAGGTTCTCAGTACCTTCTTTGCTTCTCTCCTCTCCAAATACGGGTTAAAGTACATATATTTAATCTCCTACATTTTCCAGTGGTAATTATTGGTGTTTTTGGCCTCCTAGAATGGAATTGCTTATTTTTAAATCATTGAATTAGTCATAAATATTTAAGTACTTTCAGGCTTTCTCTTGAAAATTTGAAAAATCTGGCTATTGCCATTCTTACTGGTGCATAGAAGTAGATGCTCATCTTAGATAAGGCGTGTGCTCTTCTATTTTATCACAGTCCTCACCACTCCTTATTGTCTCTTTCACACTAAGGCTAAGTGACAGTTGCCATTCATCAATGTATAAATAGGACCATTTTTCTTAAAGTAAAGTTAAGAAGAATGTGATATAGTTTTTATATCCAAGTTCATATAAAAATTGGGAAGAATGAAATATAGACAGAGAGAAGTATACACTTCAAGAAAAATGGGAATAGTGTTTTTGGGAGGTCGAGAGAACAAAGATCATTCCTAAGCATTTAGTATGTAATATGCAACAAAGTATGACTGGGAACATAGAGGGCAATTCAACATATAAGGACCCTGAACTCGCAATCCTTCCTCTAATCCAATAAAGAGGAATAAATAGTATATTCTACCTGTTGCATAATTTGCAAGCTACGTATTCTTTTTTAAAAAATCTGTAATTCACATTATTATGCACAGCAACTTTAGCTTCTTTTTTTCTTTTTCTTTTCTTTTTTTTTTAAAGATTAGCACCTGAGCTAACAAGTGTTGCCAATTTTTTTTTCTATATTTTCTTCCCCAATTCCCCCAGTACATAGTTGTATATTTTAGTTGTGGGTCCTTCTAGTTGTGGGATGTGGGATGCCGCCTCAACATGGCCTAATGAGCAGTGTCATGTCTGGGCCCAGGATCCAAACGGGTGAAACCCTGGACCACCAAAGCAGAGTGCGCAAACTTGACTGCCCGGCCACGGGGCCGGCCCCTAGCTTCTTTTTTTCATATTGATATCTTCCCTCCGAGACACTTACTGTCCCACTTCAACTTCCAAATTTTGCCCTTTGAGAATGGAAGTACAGAGGGACTCATTGCTAGTTCATATGCTTCTTAACGTTGCTTTCTTATTTATATAAAGAAAAGTTTGCAATTCTAGCTCAGGAAAGACTTAATTAAAATTTAGCTAAGGATTCTCATTCTCTTCAATTTCAATGTGGGAAAGGGTGATTTATTCTTCCACTTGCTTTTAGTTGATGGGTTTTGGATCCAGTGACTGTAATGACAACAGTAAAAGTAAAATTTCGTATTAGGAATTTGAATTCTGGGATGTCCTTAGCTAGTAAATACACATGAAGACTAGAAAAATGTAACAACATCAGGTACAATTATCCAGATGCTTTTTAAAATGCCAAACACAGGGGCTGGCCCTGTGGCCTAGTCGTTAAGTTCATGCGCTCCCCTTTGGCAGCCCACGGTTCGCTTGTTCAGACCCTGGGCACGGACCTACACACCACTCATCAAGCCATGCTGTGATGGCATTACACATAGAAGAATTAGAATGACCTACAACTAGGATATATAACTATATACTGGGGCTTTGGGAAGAGAAAAAAAAAGGAGGGATATTGGCAACAGATGTTAGCTTAGGGCCAATCTTCCTCATAAATAAATAATAAATAAATAAATAAAAGTCCAAACACAAATCCATCACAATACTGGCATTAAGCTAGGCTTAAATGGTAGTTAGGTATGGGCATATATTTGTCAAACTCTTGTAAGGAACCAACGGTGTTTTACATTTATCTGAATTTATCTGTCTTTCTCCCTCCGCCACCTTTCCTATCTTCATTTAAGCCAGTTAGAGAAATAAGGCAGTAATTGAGCCCAATATTCACTGATAGCCAAGCAGGAAGCTTTTGGGTGTGAACCAGACTGGGATGACTCATTGGGAGCCAAATGTTTGTATGGAAAACTCCCCCTAAAATGGCACAAAAGCAAATGTTTATAAACATGTTTAAAAAGCATTGTAGAACTCTTGGGAGGAGGGGTTAAAGAATTGCCCCCCATTCCTAATTACACCGTTTTGATAAAGCATTGCTTTGCTACTGTGGAGGCTGACCCAGGCTCTAAGCCTTTCAGAAATGGGGCTGCTATAATTGGTAGGACTAGTCTGACTCACAGCACTTCTTATTTTGAAATATGACTATTTTGATAACCTCAGCCCAATCTGTATTTTGAATGCATCAAAAATTCATGTGCTACTTGTGAAAATTTTAAGTTTTCCTATAGATATGTTTCAATTGAAATCTACACAAATAGAGGTTACAAGAAAAGAGTGGATAAAAATGGAAATTTGTTTCTTGCTGAGCAAACTTTTACCTCAAATGGGGTAAGCGTATATTTAAATTCTGGACCTCAGCGTTGCCTATTGTTTTAAACACCCTTCTCTACCCCTCAAGCAAATGAAAACCGGTTGTTTCATTTTGACAGGTATTTTTGGCACACATCAGGTTCCTGCTCAGACTTATCAGGCCCTTGTTTGAGACCCTGGAGCCCATGACTCAGACTGATTTGAGGCGAATGGGAAGTCAGCTCCTATTAGAAGCTGCCTCTGAAGATGAGGTGATGGTAGTGGTGGAAGGTTGGTGTTTTTCCATCTGGTCTCAATTTTGAAAAGGAACCAGGGGGTTAGGAGGTGATCAGGCCAAGAGGCCAACCCTCCTGCTAAACCAAGCGGCCTGCCATTTTTCTGTGACCTGCTACAGAGTTCTTAGGTTTGTTGGCATATTTTAAAAAGGACATTGAGCCACCCAGGCATCAACTTGTCATTGAACTAAGCAGCAGCACTTAGTTATATTCAGAATTAGAATTCTGTCTTCTATCCGAGAAACTAATGGGAAGGACTTAGGAGAGTGGCTATAATGAGTGTGATTTGGAGGCTAGTATCAAGGAGAGATAATATCATCTTTGATCTCCATATTTAAGGCTGGTGTTATCTATTTCTGTAGCAAAAACATCCTGACCAGATGAGTGCATGGGGACCATAGTTGTAGATATAGCCCTGCTTCCTTTAGCCAAGATCACGAGAAAATGGGTTCTTCAGATAAATGAATTTCCAGATTTCTGGAGCTTCCTCTATTAAGTAACACATGTTAAATAAAAAAATTAATTGTAGAAGATAAAAGGACCTCTGTGGAATATGGCTGAAGGTGGAGGGGCAGGTAAGTGGAATCTTTTTACTTCTCTCTCTATGCTCTTCTATAAAAAATGAATTTTTAAATAACTAATATGTATTATTTTTAAAAATTTACTTAAAACTATTTCTATACAAATAAATGATTTACATACTTCTGACCTCTCAAACAGAACCAAATTGAGCTTTCTTTTAATGATTCATTATCATCATTATAAAACTCAATTCTCTGTACCTCAAAGCAATCATACCCTCAAATAGTCCTGGAATGTATTGAATAGTTTATTCCTACACTAAATGTCCTCAGACTTTTAACTTACCTGTCACAAATTTTCTCTGCCTGCTTTGCCATGAGATAGTCAGCTGCCATTTCACACTGACAGAATTCTGCCTATCTTTAGCAGCCTCTCTTTTGAATTTATTGTTTTAACTTGATGCTACTAATTAGCTGACTGGTTGGTAAGTCACCTAAAGAAATTTCTTAATAGTCTATGTAAAATAAAATTAAATAGGCATAGAGTGAATGCTCAAGAGTCACTCCTAAAAGCAGTGTACAAAAAATAAAGCTTTAGTGCATTTATTTGGAGCTTTCAGTCTTATCCTTTCTATCTGGATCCCAGCTATGTTTCAGATATAGATGTCACTGGTTAAAAGAGTTATATATAAGTGAAATGATGCTCTGCTGTCATTTAATAAAAGGAGTTGCATCATTTCTTCCTTCCCTCATGAAATTGCTCAATGGCGGCCCAGGCAGGTGCACGTGAGACTGAATTGGAGTTAGTCTCATTCGTCAGGCTAATTGAAATGATAGCCCTGGACATGTTGCCAGGTCTAGAATAATATTTTAAATTAGAAACAACTGCCAGCATTTGGATAACCAAGGATTCATTTACAGTAAATGTTCCCAGATGTGGTAAGTATATATTTGGTCTTTGTCTCTGGTTGCTGACACAGACCTTCTAAAACGTTTAGGATTTCCTGGTAGGGGTGATAGAAACATCTTTTGTTATTCATAACAAGCCCCTTTCAACTATACCTGAGTTGTATATGTCAATGAGATCACTCTTGGTGGACACCTAGATAGCTTCAGGATGAGGGCTGGCTACCAGAGCAACCAGCCTTGAGATTAGAGAGTTACAACTTTCAGCCCCACCCCACTGGAGATTGAGTCAATCACCAATGATTAAGGATTTAATCAATCATGTCTATGTAATGAAACCTTCATAAAAACCCCTAAACAATGAAGCTCAGAGAGCTTCCTGGTTGGTGAACAGATCAGTGTTGGGAGGCTTATATGCCTAGAGAGAGCATGGAAGCTCTGTGCCCCTTCACCCCACCCACCCTACATCTTGCCCAATGCATCTCTTCCTTTTGGCTCTTTCTGAGTTATGTCCTCTGTAATAAATTGGTGATAGCAAATAAACTGTTTCTAACAAATTATGGAACCTGAGGAAGGGGTCATGGGAACACCCAATTTATAGCCTTTTGGTTAGAAGTAGGGGTGGCTTTGGACTTGTGTTGACATCTGAAGTGGGGGCAGTCTTGTAGGAATGAGCCCTTAACCTGTGGGGTCCACGCTAACCCCAGCAGTCAGTGCCAGAATTGAATTGTAGGACACTCAGTTGGTGTCTGGAGAGCTGGAAAATTGGTTGGCGTGAAGAAAAAGCCCACACATTTGGTGTCAGAAGTGTTGTGAGTAAAAACCAGCTCACCAGGCTCTTATGATCTCAACATCCTTGAATATGTAGCAGGTTTGCCAAATCCCTATGAAAAAAACATACATGTAGGCTCTAGTCTACCGGGTAGATCAGACAAGACTCAGCTGACTCACAGATACATGGAAATAGATCAAACAAGTAGCATGTGTTTAAAAGGAACACTTTAGTTAGACAGGGAGTGGGGATTTTTTGACAATCGTTCAGAATGTGAGTCAGAGTGTAGGTTTGCGTGGGTGAGTGTGTGGGTGGATACATCTGTGGGTGTCAGAAAGAGACAGCCAGAGATAGATGGCTGCAGTTCCGCAGCTAGTAAAATGACTATAATAGCAAAATAAATGTAAAGGCATAGAGCTTCATGGAGCCCTTTAAAATAGTTTTAGACAAACAATGTCTACAGACAGGCTTATTTAAAATACCAATTGCTTCCCACAAAGGGTTTAAATTACCCCTCCTTACACAACACCAGGCAATTTTCATTTACCACTTACTTGAAATTTGGTAATTATCACAAATGAAACCCTATCTTACATTGCTGGTAGTCAAAACTTTTTAAAAATGGGAAAATTGAGATAAATTGGTTGCATTTGTTAACTAGAATATGACCTTCAGCTGTTCTTAGACTAAGACATGACAGGAAATAACTTGCCAAGGAAAGAGGAGCTGAAATGGGTAATAGGATAAGAAGGTTTTTTTCCTACAGCTATAATAAAATGATTTCTGATATACTTACATACATGCAGTAATGGGCAACACAAAAATGTAAAAAGATAGGGAATTGGCGATATAACTGCTTGCCTGGTTTCATCTGGGAGAGAAATTATGCTGGCAACGTGGAGTCTTTGCCTAGAGATTCCATTAACAAGAAATTCACAGATTCTCACTGTTTTTGGCAATTCCATGCTTGCATCCCTGGACCCTGGCAAGTGTGAATGTATGGGCAAGTCCAGAGCCCACCAAGCTACTCGGAATATCACTTGAAATTAAAGCAAATAATCCCAAAATGAAAGAGGTGATGGATCAATATGTACAGGTTAGATAGAGTTATTCAATATGCAACTCGCATGTCTGAGCCTCTATGATGTGCCTCCCCACTGTGATTGCTTCTAGAATTGCAACCGTGCATCTGCCCTCAAGGAACTCAGCCCCTGAATTAAGCGGGTAAGGAAGCTGATAAGCACTGTTTGTGCTAGGTGCTCTTACATATGCATCAATGGAGGAAACAGTTATTAATTCTCCATTCACCAATACCGATATTTTTTCCAAAATAGAAATACCTTTTTCTCATTGTAAAAATAATATATGCTCATTAGAGAAAATTCAGATACAATAGAAAAGTATCATTTGTTGATTTAAGGAGAATTCATTTAAAGCCATTACACAGTAAAGAAGCCCAGAGTCTGTGCTTTATTTCGTATTTCCTCTTTGTAAACTAACTTCTCCACTCCTTGCCATACGTCACTTTTCATTATTAACTGGTGGAGAACAAGTGATACAATAAACCTGCCTAGCAGGGCCAGAGACCCAACCCACTCTCTGTCGTTACTACCTTTTATGTCTGTACACCATAATCGGTTCTTACACACTTATGCTTACATACTGTAAGTGATGTAAGCATAATATAAATTTATTTCATAAGCTACTTTGGGCCTGGGAAAATCCAGAACAACTACATCTGCCTCTTATTTGCTTTAGTAAGAACGCTCCTGCACTCACAAGAAGGGAGCTCTTACCCCTCTATTCTAAATCCTGATTTTTTATGTCACCTTTTCCTTCATAGCTAGGAAGTCAAACCCCATGTAACCAGTCTGAGGATGATTAATGGTGGCTTTGAGCCTTCACGAGGTTTGGAGCTGTTGATGCGGAGGATGAACAAGATACAGAGAATGTGTGAGCCTTGTGTTAGTCATGACAAGATAGGCTTATGTGACAGTTACCCAAATAATCTGATATCCCAGTGGTTTAATATAAGAAAGGTTTAATTCTTGTTCATGTTTCATATCTGTTATAGATGGGGTGGCAGTCTTACTCAAGGACCAGGATGATGGAGGCTCTGCCATCTCGTGGCTGCACCAGCTCCTTGGTCACCGAGTAGGGAAAGAGATGCAAAATCTCAGAGGGTCTTTTCACCACCTCTGCCCGGAAGAACACTTGTGGCTTCTGCTCACATTTCATTGGCCACAGCTAATCACGTGGTCTTCCTAACTTCAAAGGAGCTGAGAAATTTGGGGAACAGATGTAATGATTGGTTAGAACTCTCTCTCCCTTAAACCTAAGTCTGAATTTTTGACCACAAGCTGACATAATCCAAAATCAAATAAATGATATTAAGTTATTTACTTATGTCAATTTTCTACTCCTTTGGCATGAATATTCGAGTGTGAGATGTGTATAGAGAAGTATATACCTTATACATAAACACAGTTTTCTATATATAAGGCAATTACTGTATACAAAATAGTTTATTATTTTCCACACCAGGTCTTCAAGAAGGAGGAAGATGATTGTGAAAGAGAAAATAATACCACACCCTCATTTTTTACCTCTAAGTCCAATTTGGGTTGACTAAAAGGAGCAACGTGCCTAGATTTGTAAGGGTAGACTAACTCATGTAACAATTAGTTCTCTCTGCTCTTTGGAATTCTGGGCAATTTTTTCTTCCGTTTATCTGAATTTTGTAGTTTTTCTATAGTCTCAGTGGTTTAAGAAAATAGAATTTGTTAATTGTGTATGTAACAGTTCAGTGTGGGTATTTGATGCGTGGTCTCCCAGGAGGCGATTCAGGGACCTGGGCTCCTCCTTCCTGAGACTCTGCCATCTTCCAGGGTTTCAGAGTCCTCTGCAGGTTCCTACGCATCAGGCTGACAGACAAGCGAAGAGAAGTGTGGGAAAATCAGGGGCCAGGCTTGGAAACAGCATGTATCATTTCCACCACATTCTGTTGGCCAGAACTCACGATCACATATAACCTCAAGGGAGCTGGGAAATGTACTCCAGTTGTGTGCACGGGAGGAAAGGAAGTAGGTTTGTGACTGTCTCTACCACAACGGCCGTGGATGATCAAAATAAGTAAATAAATAAAAGAGAAGAAAAGGAAAGAATCTGACTAGAGTTGCATGTATCTGGGGAAAGGAACGTTATTTCTATTGCCTTGTTCTTATTTCCTTCATTTCTACTTATATGTTGCTTCTCTGTAATTTCTCCATTTTATTTCCTTTTAAAACTAATTTTTTGTTTTTGCTTTTTTTTTTGGTGAGGAAGAGTGGCCCTGAGGTAATATCTGTGCCACCAAAGCACAGGTTGATGAGCAGTATATAGGTCCGTACCCAGGATCTGAACCCACCAACCCCGGGCCACTGAAGCAGAGTGTGTAAACTTAACCACTACACCACTGGGCCAGCCCCTAAAACCAGTTTTCAAGAATGTTAACACTCTGCTTTGTTGAGAGTATACAGAAATGAATATGATGATGCTCAGTTGGTTGGAATGTAAACTGATATAACCTGACAGAAGGGAAATTTGTCTATATGAATCAAAACTCTTAAAAAGAGTACAGTCAACAATTCTACTTTCAGAATTTTATCCTAGGGAAATAAACAGGTAATATAAACAGACGCATGTACAAGTGTATTTACCATAGTATTGCTAATAATGGTAAAACACCTTTATGATATAACTGTCCAGCAATTGAAGGTGAAGTAATAATGCTGCTTCTAATAAAATATCATGTGGCCATGAATGATGACATAGATATCTATTAACCAATGTCAACGTTCCTTATACATTATGTAAAAATAGTTTACAAATCTCCATGTCTAGAGATGTCTGAAAGATGAAAATGGGAATATTCTAGACATAGAGATTTGTAAACTATTTTATATATAAATGATTTCTTTGCTTATCTCTGTTTTGCACTTTTTTAATATAAACAAGTGTTTTTCTTAAAAAAGAAATTTATTTTTTATTTTAAAGCAAAAAACAAAAACTCCTAATGTTTAAAACGAAAACACAGAATTTTAATCCATAGGCATCTCAAAGAAAAAACAAAAAATACCACCTGGTTACCCACACTGGCTCTGTCTTCCAGATGGCCCCCTTGCGTGAGCACCTGGAGGAGTCCCAGCCATGGGGGTGGGGTGGGTGGGGAAGCTAAGTTCTTTGTTTCGAGTGCCTTGTCTCAGTGCGAGGCTTAAGCAAATTGTAGAGTCCATGCATAGCTGCTGCTCTTCATTCCTCACCTCCCTCACTCTGACAATGGCCTGCTTTCTTTCCTCTGAGTAGGAAACCTGCAGAGGCAGCTGGCTTGTGATATTTCGTGTAGGCATGTGAGTTATATGCAAATCACATGCAAAGACACTCAGAATCCTTTCTCAGATGGTCCATCAGGAATATTTGTCTTGTCGGTATTATACCCACAAAAGGCCACATACTTCTGATATTTCTCTTAATTTCTTCCAGAATAAGCCAAGCTGCTGTCAGAAGAGTTTTCAGTTTTTAAGCTCACTATTCATTTTGGAGTTATCCATGCATGCATGCTTACAAAGGTTAAATTATCTTCAAAGACAGAATAATTTTTCCAGCACAACTGAATTCAAAGTAAGTGAAGTGCCAGAACGCAATAATTTTGTCTAAGAATCAGTATCCTCTATGTGTATTTATAATATGTAAATATGTATTTATAACAGCTGAAAGATAAAAACATTTTTAATTGCTTTCAGTATTAAGGATAGTGATTTTACTAACTGTAGACTTCGCTCAGCAAAATCACACATCTGTCACCTACACACACACAAACTTGCCAAATTTCGTTAACACCGTTAAAATTACAGCAGTTACACTCATTAAAAAATTAATTCAAAGTAGTATACTTTTAAAAAGCTATTACCCACAATCAAAAAAGCCAATCTTGGTTCTTTATTGAAAGACCAACTTTTATTCAATCAATATATGCTCTTCAGAAAATTATTATGAAACTGAGAAAGAAACAGAATACACCAAGTCACCTTGTTTGCTAAGTCACAACACCTTATACTAGCCTAGGCTGTTTTTTGGTTTTCCAAAGCAGGTTGAAAAAGAGGAAATGAGAATCGTATGTAACTCATTCTGGTTTTATTGATTAGCAGTAAGTTGAGAATTCTCTTTCCTAACACAGAAGGATAAGATGTTAACTCGTATAATCATTCAGGATTTTAACAGAAGGTAGAAGGGAACTAGTCCCTGAGGGGTGAGAAAATAAAGTGCCAGCGCTGAGGTGAAAAGGCCCGGGAAAGAGACTAGCGGCAGACCCTTCTGCCTCCCTCCTGGTTTCCCTGGGAGGCGCCAGCTAAGGATTGCCTTAAGCACCTCTCCTGCTGAGGTACAGTTTTCACCACCACAGAGGACACCAGGACCAACATAAAAGGTGTGTTCTGGGGGAAGCCTTGCCCTCACGCCACAATGTTACTGCTGCTCTTGGAGATCTCATCCGTTTCCTCATCATTGAGGAGGAGGGCCAGCTCCCTTTGAACGTCAGCTCTAAATGCTATCATTTGCTCCTCTGAATGCTGGTCTTTTGCTCCTGACTCACTATTCCCACCCCTCACTTCCTCAGCTGACCATCAGTAAAAAGACCTTGGTCAGTCCGGGACTTCCCTCCTCAACCGCGGCCCTAGCCGGCTGCCAGTGGGCATGGCAATTTTCCACAGCTGAACTCACTGTGTAGAGGAGGCTTCACTGTATTGGGCAGACAGAAGACAGACAAAGCAGCTCACTGATCTCACCTGAGAACTACCCTAGACTAGTGTTGGGACCAGTGGGAGGGGCTAGCACAATTATAAAGGTAACTGAGTGTACAGCTTGTTCTCTGATAACCAGAGATCAGATAGTAACAGGTAAGAGAAAAGAGTAAAATTTGGCAACTCAAGCTTATTTTGTTTTGAATCTCTTTGACAAAGAAGCTGTATGATGTTTTCTGTGTGATGTTAACACCCACTCATCTTCCCACTCTTCCCACTCACGCATGTCACCCATCTTCCAATCCCCTCCCTTCCATACAACTCTTAGCCTCCAATACTTACCCTTTTGCTCACTACCCCGATTCTCCCACCTACCAATCAATGAACCCATTTACATGCCCTTGAACCCTTTCACCGTTACATCCTGCATCATGGTTGTCTGTGGGATGTCTCTGTGAGCTAGTAGGCATTTGTTTCCTTTCACCTCTAGAACATGCTTTTCTTTAGGTGAATGGGTTCTTTGGTTAACCTGTGTGGCTATATTGTTACATGAGCCATGTTTAGGTGTGTGCACCCCTGCTGTGTGGATGGCTGAATCTTGATGGTGGTTGAAATCAACCATCTTTATACACAAAGTGCAGATTGTATGTATGTAGGTAGGTACATACCAAGAGGTATGGAACTCCTGTGTTATCTGAGTATCTGTGTTTAGGTACCTGGGTTGTGTTTATGTGTGTGCAAGTCTGCGTCTGTATACATCTGTATGTGTGTCTCGAGGCACAGCCAATGGCTTCCTATAAAATATGACCACCTGTCTCCATATCTCCCTGCATAGTTACTCTCTCATTTTTTTGGGAAAATTTTTATTGTGGTAAAATACATGTAACATAAAATGTATCATTTTAACTAATTTTAAGCGGGCAGTTCAGTGGCATTAATTACATTCACAATGTTGGGCAAACAATCACCACTACCTGTTCCCAAAATTTTTTAACATCCAAACAGAAACCCTGTAACCATTAAGCAATAACTCCCTATTCTCCTTTCTCTCAACCTCTGACAACCTCCGATCTACTTTCTTCCTCTATAAATTTACCTATTCTAGATATTTTAAATAAGTAGAGTCATATAATAATTGTCCTTTTTGTGTCTGGCTAATTTCACTTAGCATAATGTTTTGAAGGTTCATCCACGTTGGAGCATGTATCAGAACTTCATTCCTTTTTATGGCTGAATAATATTTCATTGTGTGTATATACCACATTGTATTGTGTGTATATACCACATTGTATCTCTCCATTCATTTGTTGATGGACATTTGGGTTGTTTGTGCTTTTTAGCTATTATGAATAATGTTGCAATGAACATTGTCATACAAGTATCTGTTCAAGTCCTTGTTTTTAATTCTTTGGGGTATATACCTAGGAGTGAAATTGCTGAGTCATATAGTTATTTTATGTTTAGCTTTTTAAGGAGCTATCAAACTGTTTCCACAGTGGCTGCACCATTTTACATTACCATCAGCAATAGATGAGGGTTCCAGTTTCTCCACATCTTTGCCAACATTTGTTATTTTATTTTATTTTTTAAAATTGCCACGCTAATGGATGTGAAGTGGTATCTCACTGTGATTTTGATTTGCATCTCCCTCATAAGTAAAGCTGAGCATCTTTTCCTGTGCTTATTGGCCATCTGTATATCTTCTTTGGATAAATGTCTATTCAAGTTCTTTGCCCATTTATTAACCAGGTTGTTTGTTTTTTTGTTGTTGAGTTGCAGGGGTTCTTTATAATTCTGGATGTTAATTCCTTATCAGATACATGATTTGCAACTATATTCTCCCATTCCACAGGTTGGCTTTACACTTTCTTGATAATGTCCTTTGATGCACAAAAGTTTTTAATTTTGATGAAATCCAATTTATCTGTTTTTTCTTTTATTGCTCACGATTTTAGTGTCATACCTAAGAACCCACTGCCAAATCCAAAGTCACAAATATTTACCCCTATATTTTCTTCTAAGAGTTTTATGGTTTCAGCTCTTACATTTAGGTCACTGACTCATTTTGAGTTAGTTTTTGCGTATTATGTGAGGTAGGGGTCCAACTTCATTCTTTTGCATGTGGAAATCCCAGTTGTCTCAGTCCTATTTGTTGAAGAGACTGCTCTTTTCCTATTAAATGGACTTGGCATCCTTGTCAAAAATCAATTGATCACAGATGTATGGATTTATTTCTGAACTCTCAATTTTATCTCATTGGTCCATATGTCCATCTTTATGTCAGGACCACACTGTTTTGATTACTGTGGTTTGTAGTAAGTTTTGAAATCAGGAAATGTGAGCCCTCTGACTTTGTTCTTCTTTTTAAGATTGTTTTGGCTATTCAGGGCCCCTTGCAATTCCATATGAATTTGAAGATTGCCTTTGTCCTTTCTGCAGAAAGGGTTGTTGGAGCTTAATAGAGAATTTGTTGATTCTGTAGATTGTTTCGGGTACTAGTACCATCATAACAAGTTGTCTTGCTACCCATGAAGATGGGATGTTTTTCCATTCATTTAGGTCTTAAATTTCTTTCAGCAATGTTTTGTAGTTTTGTTGTTGTTGTTATTGTTTGGTGAGGGAGATTGGCCCTGAGCTAACTTCTGTTGCCAATCTTCCTCTTTTTGCCTGAGGAAGATTGTTGCTGAGCTAACATCTGTGCCAATCTTCCTCTATTTTGTATGTGGGACACCGCCACAGCATGGCTCGATGAGTGGTGTGTAGGTCCCTGCCTGGGATCTGAACCCACAAACCCAAGGCCACCAAAGTGGAGCGCGCAAACTTAACTACGAAGCCACCAGGCCAACCCAATGTTTTGTAGTTTTCAGTGTACAAGTCCTTCACCTTTTTGGTTAAATTTATTCCAGGTATTTTAGTTACCCTCTCCTTTTAATTGACTTGAAATTCTTCCCCATTGTAATTACTAGACTATACTGTGTCCATAGTGCAAAGAATAGTGCCTAGCATAGAGCAAACATTGAACAAATGCTAATCGAATATATAAGAATCTCCAAAATCAGAGGATCTTAGAATTTTGAGAAAACACTCATACTAATTCCATTCTTCTAAAGATGAGGAATGATTCAGAGAGGTTAAGTGAATTGCTCCAAATAGCACAGCTAACTAGTAGTAGAACAAGAAGTTCACATCTCCTGAAAGTTTTCTCTGGATCAAAATGTAATCAATATATGCCAAGATTCTATCTGCTGGAGTAAATAAATGGGCATGTTTATAAACTTGAATGCTTGTCTTTGGGTATGGAGATTTTGCGGTGTCCGGCTCCCTATTCTCTGAAATGAATCTTAAAGAATTGGTGTACCTACAACAGTAGCTTAGATTTAAAGCCAAAGAATAGTGTACGACATATTTCAGCAAATGAGATTATTCAAATGGACATATAGCTCACAACGATTATCTGGAGCTGCGTATCGATGAGGACAACACATATGGAAGTCTCTATGTCCATGAGTGTGTGTATCTGTGTTAATGAGATGGCTGAGTGTCATTTTGGAAATGAATTGAACCCATTATATCTTTTCATGCTGAGAGCAGATGATCCACTAGGCTTCACCTTTTAAAGCACTTATTTCATTATAGAACTACTTCCATTTATATAAAGAGTGGAGAAAAGAGAAAAGGAGAACTGTGTCCTTGTTTACAAACTGGGGCATTCCTTAATGTGCTTTTCTTTTTATTTTTAAAGAATTGCTTACTGAATTTTTCACTCCCTCCCAAGGTAAGGGTCAATCAGCCTGGCCCTTTTCCATAGCTGGTCAGTCCCTCTGTGATTCTCTTACCTTTTCCTGATAGCAGCTTCTCCCAAAGATGGTCAGTAATCATAGGCCTGGGAACTGTCTCTGAGTCCATAGTGCGAGATCAGTAACTTCCGCCTGGAATTTGGGAGCCGGAGGGGAGAAGTGCTGATTGCCTACTCAGTAGCTCCCCATCCCTGGCTTTTCCTTATGAATAGCCCCTCTACTTTGTTGTGGGCAATTGTATGCTTGGAAAAAGCAAAACAAAAAGACAAATGAGCAGAAACTGCATTTCCTATTCTCGCTGGGAGAATCAGGTGTAAGCAAAAGTTTTTGGATGGGGCTTTCAGAAAAGATCTTCAAAGTGGAGCGGACATCTGACAAATGCCTTTTGCACTTTGCACTCTGCCCTTCTCCCTAGCTGGATTCTAGAGGTGCTGCTGGAGGTGGAGCAGCTCTTATAACCATGACAACCATGAGAGAAAGGTTCAGATGTCACAGAGATATCAACAGTGACATCACTGTGCTGCTGAACCCATGTTACACAAGAAAAATTCCCAATTTGTTTAAACCACTGTTTTTCGGGTCTCCTAACAAGCAGCCCAATTTAATTCTTCACTGACACAAGAGCTGAAAGAGCAAAATGAGATAATTTGAGTCAATGGACTCCTATGTATCTTGTTGGTAAATTAGACATTTAGAATAAACATTAAGTAGAAATTCTAGGCAGTCAAGATAATAGCGGTGGCATAAATCTGAAGCTCCCAACATATCCCTCCCCCCCAAAAAACCCCAAAATATATAAAATAAAACTACACAAAACTCATGTCTTCAGCATAACTTGAAAACAGAGAATGTTCAAATTTCAAATTAAGTGTAAACGGAAAAATAAACACGAAACCCCAGCAAACGGCCTCTCACACTCCTGATGCAAGCCTTTCAGGAAAGCAGTCAGTTTGGGAAAAACTTGTGCAGAGCATAGAAAAGGGGAGCTGGTGGTAAACTTAAGATTGATCTAAAACCACCCCCAGAAAGAGAAAGTCACCCCTAAGCTTGATGATACTGAAAAAGCACTGGTCGATCGGAGCGCTTACTGCAGGAAAGGCACTTAACCGCGTGTGCAGGGTGCAAGGAGGCAGTCTCGGAAAAGTAAGGCTTCCGGGTGAAAAGGGTCAAAAGGAAAGTGGAGGATTCCTCCAGAAATCAGGCAGGGTGGGGGAAAGAACTTGAAGGGGAAATTTAGATACATGCCAGACCCTCTCTCCCTCCGAAATGGAAGGAAACCAAGCCCTTCTCCTATCATTCCTCCTCTGTAAAATAATAATAATAATACAGAAATAAATAAAATAAGAATTTTTTGAAAAATTTGTTACACTGACAGGAGAGGGCGCTCTTGAACTAGGAATCTTGCAACCACCCTAACCCTCCTGCCCAGTCTGCAGAAATGTAGATCAGTCTCATCTAAGCAAAATTACTAAAATAAAAATTAAAAGAGTTCAAACAATTCAACTCATAAAAATTCCTCCCCCAAATAATCGCAAAGTGGAAGAAAAGTGTAACACAACTCTCCAAACTGAATTATATATCCTCAAACAAGCATTTGGGAAAATGAAAAACACCTTGAATCACAAATTCAAAAACTAAGTACAGATATAGACAAAAAACCAGGAAGAGGGGCCGGCTGGTGGTGTAGTGGTTAAATTCGCGTGCTCCACTTTCGTGGCCCAGGGTTTGTGAGTTTGGATCCCAGGAGCGGACCTACACACTGCTCATCAAGCCATGCTGTGGTGGCTTATGCAAAATAGAGGAAGATTGGCACAGATGTTAGCTCAGGGCCACTCTTCCTCACACACACACAAAAACCCCAGGAAGAAATGAAATGATGAAATGAGTGTTGATTAAACTCAGGAAACAGAAGAAAAAATAGAATAAACATTATGCTGCATTACCTATAAGATTCTAGATAATATGTACTAAGGCATTTTATATATATATATAAGCCACATGGTGGAGAAAAAGCTACATGATGGTGGAAAAGTTGCATGGTGGAGAAATCATTTGAATGTACCTTGAAGGATGGTATACATACATTCAAACAATTTCTGCACTATGTAGCTTTTCAGGGTCTGTCCTAATTAAATATGACCTTTGAGGCATGCAATAAATGGTGTCTACTCTTATTGCTATTATCACCATTACTGGCTACTGATTGGTTGAGGGGAGGGAGCCACAAGTAAAATGTCTGGAGCAAAAAATTACAGAGTTTACCATACTCTAGTGCCCACCTAGGTCAATGACTTGACTTTATAGATGAGGAGACTGAGACTCAGGGAGGTCACACGGTGGCCCAAGGTTCCCCAAAGCCAGTTAGTGATAGAGAGAGGGAGGGAGAAAGCCTTTCTTTCCTTCTTTCTCCTCTTTTCTTCCTCTTTATTAGAAGATAACGGGCCCCCCTCCATCTCTGAATCCACCCTCCAGCACCCTGCAGCTGCTGTGAGCTCCCCCCTCAGCAGGACTTTCTTTTGTGTTCACTCTTCCCTCTTCCTCTGACCCATTCTCCCTGACAGAAGCTGTGCCTAAGTCACCCTCATTCAAAAAAACCAAATAAACCAAACCACCTTCCCTTGATTCTGTCATCTCCGATTTTCCCTCATCATTAAACTTGTGAAAGCGTATCAGACTAGCTGTCAGCTCTTCCTCCCTACTCACTCCTAAAACTCTTGCTGTTTCTCCCTTCATTCTCTTTGAAACCTGCTTGTTCAGAAACTGCTGGCTACCATCTTTTAGACTCTCCCTTGTCTTCTTGGACCCACAGTCTTTTTTCTCCAGTCAATTCTACAGCTTCTCATTCTCTTGTTCTGGGTTTTCTTCCTCCCTCTTAAATGTAGACATTCTCCAAAGTTTTCTCCTACCTTCTTTTTGTGCCCTCACAGCTGCCAACTGCAAATACACATCTCTAGGCCTATCTGCTTCTTGGGTGCCTCTCCAGAATGACCTACTAGACATCATCCCTGGGTTCCAGGAGGCCCCTGGAGCTAAACATGTCTGCAGCTGAACTCTACCTGCTCCTCAGTTCTGTACCTCCTTCCAATCTCCAATCCAGCCTCAAATGGTCCTTGATACCATCCTTTCCTTTATCTTCAGTCCCAGATTACTCATAAATTCAACTTAAAACATTTGTTGAGTATTTAGTATCTTCAGGCACTGGCCATGGGCCGGGGGATAGGAGATGAATGAGACCTACTCTCTAAGCTTATGCTTACAGACTCGGTGAAAACCTGTGCAATCAGTGCACACAACTTTCCTTCCATCCCCACTGTCATCCTTTTCATTCCCATTGTCACCCTCCAAGCTCAAGTCAGCATTACCTCTTTTTCAGACTAATTAATCAGCCCCGTAAGAGATTTCTTTGAAATCAGTCTGCTGACTGATTTGATCTCTGTTACCCGTGACATTTTGTTAGTTTAACACATCTATTCCTGTTTGTATGTTTCTCTCTGCATGGAATACCCTTCTCTCATCTCCCTATGCTACTTTATCTGTCCTTTAAGGCCCATCTCAAATCCCAGCCCTCTTTGACGTTTTCCCTGACTTCCTGAGCCAGGAGTGTGTCTGCTTTCTCTGAAACCATGCAGACTTGCTCTCTGCTCCTATGCTTTACCTGCCATGGCTCTTGTCTAAGCTGCTTGCTCCACAAATTATGATTAGAAAGTAGAAATCAGTTTTATGTGATAGAAAATGGTCCAGTGATCAACTTCAAGAGAGATTATTCCATTATTAGCTTATCTGTATAATACCTTTTTTTTTTCTGGAGGTTTGATAAACTAAACTACTGGAGAAACTGAATATGCTATGGTTACTAAATTTTGTTCAGTGCTTTAAAGGAAATAATATATGACTTCAAGAAAGTCACATGAGTTCTCTGGACCTCAGTTTTATGATCTAGAAAATGGCAAAGTTTTACTAAATGATCTTCAGTCCTCTTCCAAATCTAACATTCTATGATTATGTGCCTCTCCTTTCCTTGCCTTCTCCATAGAGGTTGGAAAAGCTAGACATTCTTTTTAACTGCCTTCCTCGCAGCTAGCAGTGTCCATGTGATATAGTTCTGGCCAATGAGATGTAAGCAGAACTCTATTAAAGGGAATTCTGGGAAGCCATTTGCTTTCCAAATGAAAGAGACAGGCACCGCTGACATCACTCCTGAGGTAGGCCAACTTCTCAGATGGCCTCTTGCTGTACATGCCTGTATAATCTGCTCTCTCTGAGGATGGTGGTACCAAGGCATATCACCCCCATGATTAGGTTACTAATCTGTTGACTCTGAGTCAATCAAAAGGGAGATTATCCTGGGTGGGTCTGACATAACCAGGTAAGCCTTTCAAAAGAGAGAGGATTTCCTATTGGCCTCTTAGAAGAAAGCAAACAGCCATGTTCATAAGAGGCCTAGAGGCCATAGAGTAGCCTCTGGGAGCTGAGGGCTTGGCCCTGGGAACTGAATTCTACCAGCAACCAGTGAGCTTGAAAGAGGACCCTGAGCCTCTGCTGACATGCAGCTTCAAGCTGACACCTTGATGGTAGCCTGGTGATTCCTCGAACAGAGAATTTGGCTAACCAGTGACCAGACTCCTGACCTATAGAAACTGTGAGATAAAAATTGGTGTACTTTTCAGCTGCTGTGTTTGTGATAATTTGTTACACAGCAATAGAAAACAAATACAACTCTTTGCGCCTAATCTCAAAAGCTGGGCACTTTAAAACACCACCTTATGAAGATGAAGGAAAGGCCAAGCAAATCACAGAACCCCCAACCCTGACCTCTTGACCCTCTAAACCAAGGTCAGCAGCTTCTCTTCTCCAAACTTTTTTTTAAACCAGAAAAAAAATATCTATTTGTACAAGCCAATATAAGTTAGCAAGCTTTTCTTTTACTTGCAGTTGAAATCATTTCCAACTGATAAAGTAGACTTCCAAAAGAAGCATGAGCAAATTCTTATTTATTCATTGGCAAACATTTATAAGGAATCTATAATGTTCCAGATAGAAGAAAAAAAAAAAACAACCCACCAGAAATAAAAAAATCTTTGCCCTCCATAGGCTCATAGCCTAGTGCTGGAGGAGGGGTAGTGGGGACTGGAGGGAGGGTGGGCAGAGAAATCAGGATGCAGTTGAAATACAGAGCAGTTAGGCGATGGTAGGTATAAGCTAGGAAAGCTCAAGGAAGGAACACCTAGTGCAGACTTTAGGGCTGGCTAGTGGGGGAGGCTGGATCTGGAGGCTCAGGATGTGGAGCAGGATGAGGAGAGAAGAGGAGGAGTCACTTGGGAGCAGGAGAGGTGGGAAGTCCTGGCCAATCGGTCAAATAATCAAGAGCCACCAAGCACCTACTGTGAGGCTGGGGAATGTGCCAGATGCTACAGGGAGACACAGACATAGAGAACATGGTGGGGGCCCCAGGTTCTCATAATTATTCCGCCCCCCACCACACACGTTCATACATGGAGTGG